CACACACACACACACACACACACACACACACACACACGTGCGCGCGCACGCGATTCTTGCATACCGCCGTGTTTTCATATAAAAATGCTCTTCAGGGTAGATAGATGAGTGAGCCCTTGCCAGTGTTGCACTTAGTTCAACCATAAATGGATGTGCATGGATTTGGGAATGACGTTCAGTGATTGCTGTACAGAAGACATGCACACGAGACACGTAATATATTGCTACGAGGCTCTGTGCGGTGGGCACAGCCTGGCCAAACGATTTCAGCTTCAGCATTTTTTTAAAAAGAAAGAAGAGAGAGGGTAGGAAGGGGGCAGGAAGGGAGAGGGCTCCCAACTAGAGTGGATGACTGGAATAAGCAGCAGTACCAGGCCTTATGATTTCATTCAACAGTTGATCTAGGCATGGGCTGGTACGAAATGTAAGTGATACGGCATCCAGCGCTTAGTAGCTTACCCTGCAGTGAGCTGTGTAATGTCCTTTTGCAAACCATCCTGAAGGGGTGGTTTCTTCTTCACTCAGGAATACATATGCAGTATCTTGTGGAGCATAGGTGCCCATCATCTCCTCAGTCTCCTCAACTTCACAAGTGTGGAATGCAACACACAGAAAAGTACAACAGCAGAAAGTGAGAAGTCAACGACAAATACTTTTCTTTTCTTTTCTTTTTTTTTTGGAAAGTTTCAAACATTTATTACAAAAAGCAATGGGACGAGGCCGGGGACCTCACAATTCAACGACAAATACTTCTTCAACTAATAAGTTTTGAGTTCTCACTTGCTAGTGTAAGAAAGACAGATTAAAGACGCGCATTTATGATATTAATAACATTCAAATGATCTGTCTTCAAGAAACAAAACTGAGCAAAGAAAACACAAGTCTCCCTGCTTTGTAGTCGAGTCCTCAATTGCTAGTGTGAGAATGTGAGAATTGACACTAGCAAGTGAGAATTGACACTAGCAAGTGAGAATTCACACTAGGTAGTGAGAATTCACACTAGAAAATGAGAATTCACACTAGCAAGAAAGAATACACACTAGCAAGTGAGAGCTCGACTACAAAATAATAGCAAATTTCACACATCCCACAATCAGGCTTGTGGTAGAATCAAGCGTAGCTCGCAGCACATGCATACCTACATGGCACTTCTACCTTCTGCAGGACAAGGTCCTGCAAAAGAGAGCCGGGGGACACGATAGACAATCGCATCAGCGACTGCAACAGTTCATCGGAGCCAATCAAACAAGTACGACTGCAGGGATACTCATTCCTTATTCAGACTCTTCCAGACACTTCCCTGTGAAAAACCGCATCCTGTGAAGTCCTGCGGTCCGGTGGTATGTATGCACGTTATTCACTCCATTGCTCACCCTCGTAATGAAACTATTATCACTCTTTGGGTCATACTTTCATGAGCGCACACATACTCTTCGTCCACTGGTCGCTCTCAAAATGTGTGTCACATCACAACTTCAACCCAAAGGAAAGGATGAATCTTGAGTCTTGACGGTTGACGTGTTGGCCAACTTGTGTACGCATACAATGATCATGCTATTGATGGTTTGGCTACAAGCTGTTTACACATGTACAGCAACTGCGAGGTACGATTTGCTATAATAAAATCATATTAAAATGTGTTATGACAAAGTTATTGGTGACAGAGAATCATTTTGCTCAGTAAAATGGGAGGAATGAATGCCAACATAGAGGCCAGGTTAGGTCTCTCGGCATATAACGATACTCTATTACACGAATGACAAGCATGTAATACTAGAATTCACCAGAAAGCAAGAAAACGAAAAGCGAAAAAGGTTAAGGAAAGGGTAGCTCCAAATATTCTCCTTCGAATTTAAAAGGCCACACAAAAGTCAGTCAGCACTTTCTCAGCCTTGGACCTCATCCATGCGCGCATGGAATTGAGGAATTGAACAGGTGCCCTCAGCTACAAAAGCCAAGTTTCCTAACCACTACAGCCCTGACACGGTATAGAACCAAACCGGTTCTGATATCCACCCAAACCCTGCATGGCTGTAGTGTGTCCTTACACACTCAGTCACCCACCCACACCCGCACACACACGCACCGGTTCTGATATCCACCCAAACCCTGCATGGCTGTAGTGTCCATACTCGCTCACTCACTCACTCAGTCACCCACACACACCCGCGCACACACTCACCCACTCACTCACCCACATACTCACCCACTCACTCACCCACACACTCACCCACTCACTCACCCACTGACCCACACACTGACCCACTCACCCACTCACCCACACACTCACCGACCCACCCACCCACACATACACACAGTCACCCACTCACTCACCCACCCTCCACCACCACCCCCCCCCACACACACAACACCACGCAGGCGCACAATTCGCTCCAATCCATCGATGACCCTCGTCCAAAGGGGGCTTTACCCACAGGCCGCTCGAGTACAGTCAGTACTTTCTAGGCCTGGGATCTCATCATCCGTGCATGCACGGAGCTGACCCCGAACCCTCAGCCACAAGAGCCAAGTTTCTTGGCCGCTACATAAACACAGAAAAAAAAAGGGACGGAAAAAAAAAAAAAAAAAAAAAAAGCAGAAAAGGGAAGGGAAATATTAGCAATACGCTGATTTAAAAAAGCCCAACAGGGGTCGAAAATAACACACAGTTGAAAACACTCCCAAAAGCTTAACATACGGCTAGACCATTCAAAAAAAAAAAAAAAAAAAAAAAAAAAACAAAGAAAGCAGC